TGACTGTTTAACACAATAGTGACTTCATGAGTGTCACTCACAAACATGACATGAAGGTTAGCAGAGCAGTGCAGCACACTCCAGTCTCCATTGTCTCCTTGTTGGCAGAATACGTGGGATTGTTTTTTACCCATGTAGACAGGATGGCTCCTGAAATAACATGCACACGACCTATATATGTTACCTCTAAGTAGTTGTTTAAGCTTCTCAGCTGCAGTTGTGGTATATTTTGAGTATCTAAAATACTACAAAACACTTATTTGGGAGGATCTCAAGAGAAACAATAACAACAACAACAAACAAGACTGAGTGATATTTTAAACACGTTTTTTTTTTTTTTTTTTTTTTTTTGTGTGTGTGTGTGTGTGTGTTTGGTGCTGGGGACTGAACCCAGGGCTTTATGCATGCGAGGCAAACACTCTACCAACTGAGCTATATCCCCAGCCCATACACAGATTTTTATACAATTGGACAAAACAATCTTGCACTTAAAGGAGTCAGTTTAAGCAATTCAGAAGTTTCACTCAGAAGATAACTTGCTAAGCAGGCAGACAAAAGAAGCTCTATGTTATTGTGCGTTTTCCCTCAAGAAGGCCAAATAATTTAAAAACTAAAGTTTACAAAGTACATGCTATCTCTGGAAGAAGAGGAATGGTTATCATTAAATGATATATAATTCTAAGAGGAAAATAATTTAATTACTTGAGGTCTACCCCCAACTCAGTGCAATGCCCAGGCAACTCCCAATCTTGAATTTTATGCAAATGATTTATCGGCAAAATCAGATGGCACATTTTTAACAGACAGAGGGCTGAGGATGAGAGAAAGTAGATTCCAGATAGTGAGGATAAGACTAATACTTTTTTATTTCCATGTCATCAGTCTCCTCTTTCTCTCAATTGCTAGAGCTTTTACTGGCCTCATACTCCTCAAGCTACAACACAACATGTCACATAAATCTCTTCATGTGCACTGTAGAGCCACACCATCATATCAGCACATGATGCTATCATTGAGATCCATGAGATATTTTCTTAGGCTGTCTCTATACCCACAGCTAATGTATGTGTACCTCACCCCAGGATTCAGAGTGAGCCAGGCTGAATCCTGGCAAGGTACCTTTCTCTCACTTCTCACCTATGAAATGAAAGATGTGGCTAGATAGTCTCTAAAGCCCACTTCAGCTCCATGATTCTATGAGTCCAGAGACAATTGTGCTTATTATTATGACAGCTACTTATGCAATAGTTTTCAATTAACTATTTTCTTTTAAGATTCTCTATTCTGAACAATGTCAAAATGACTGAAAATATTCTATATGTCTGTGGCAAACTTGCCTAAAGAAACAAATAAAAAATATAAACATCATATTAAAATATAGGTCAGACAACATATCTCAAATATGCAATAAGTCTCTTAAAATGATTTAAGACCAAGGTTGCCTATGATAAGTTATAAAAATATTAAAATGAACTGAACCAAAATAATACCAAATAAACCAGCTACTCAACTACAAATATGACCTCGAAATCTTATGGGAGTCAAAAATTCCAGTAAAAATAACAGAAGAGATGAAAACACAAGTTTCTTATTATCACACTTCATATGTTATAAAACATAACAGCTAACTTATTTTTGGCAAGATGATTAGGGATTGCAACACTCTGGCTTACACAAGCTCACTTGATTGTCAAATGCATCTCAAATGGAGCATGTCATGCTAACTTGTCTTAGAGTAGCCCAAAGACACTGAAATTTCAACACTTCAGTGGGGATCATACCACTAAAATAAACTGGCCCAGGTGTTTGGGGTTGGGGTTGCAAAAAATGTGGTTAACTGAAACCAGATAAAACTTCTGAATTAAAAAAAATCATACAGATGCCCCCCCAAAGTGCCTTTTATGAATAATTTATTACACAGGTTATTTTCTAGCATACACGCTTTTAATGAAGATAAAAAAGTTTCACAATCTCTGCAAACTCTACGATCACAGTGTAAGCTATGTCTCTACAAATAAGACTAGGTTAAGCTTGTGGTTCATCTTTTTTTTGCCTTTTCTCCAATATTCTTTTTTAAAAATTGTTATTTAGTTATTTATTTTTGGTGCTGGGGATTGAACCCAGGGCTTTGCACAATGCTCTACCACTGAGCCACACCCACAGTCCCATTCACTACCACTCTTGCATGGGCAAAATACATGAAAATAAGACAATATAAAGTTAGGGAGTTGAAGAAGCTATAATAATGTATATAACTTTAAGATGCACTATTGTACTTCTTTCTCAACAGACACTGAAAAGGCAAGCCCCACAAATGAGAAGGATTCAAAATGAATGTGTTAAACAATCATTTTCAGTGTACACAAGAGAAACCAAATATCACATATAGAATGGATCTGGAGCAAGCAAACAAAAAACACAGACCTGTGATTAAGTTAACAGACTCTGATAAGCTCAGAAATGAGCATTTTTTTCTTTACATTTATAGAATGGTAAATTATTACTATTTTAAATATTAAAGAAAAAATTTAAATGTTTTTAAAGCTTTAAAAACATCTGAACAACTAATAACCAAAAATTATATTTCATATCAGTTTGCTGCATTTTATTTGGCAGGAACAAGTCACTGCCTTTAGTAAAAAATCAATTCAGTACTTCAATTTATATATACCACACGAGTGAAACCCTAATTGTACAGTGGTGGGATAGGCAGCTTCTGACATAGCTTCCAAGGTGCCTCCCATCCTGGAATGCAGGCCTTTGTGTAATTTCTTCTCCTTACATGTGGCTGCACCTAGTGACTTGATTCTAACAAAAAGAATAGAGCAAAAGTGATATAATGTCACTTCTGTAGGTTACAGGTTACAGACTATGACTTTTATCTTGCCAGCAGAGTCTGTCTGTCTCTTCTCCCAGGTTTACACAGATGAAGCAAGCTAGAGAGGCTAAAATTAAGGAGGGTAGCTCCCCCTTTCCACCCCCAACTGCCAGTGATGAACCAAGATTCTCAGTCCAGCAATTTTCAGGGAACTGAGTCTTGCCAGCAAACCACATGAGTGAGCTTAGAAGCAAATTCATCTCACATTTTCAGAAGACAATGCACCCCTGGAAGACAACTTAATTATAAACTTATGAGAGACCCTGCAACAGAGGATCCAGCTAAGTGTGGCAAGAATTCTGAATAGAAACTGTGAGAGACTAAATGTGTTTTACACTACTAAGTTTGGGGCAATTTGACATATAGCAGTAGGTAACCAATACAGTAGTTAACCTATTGACTGAGCTGTTGATTCTAGTGTCATTTCTATAACAGTAACAGATAAGACCTATTTGAAAGTTTTAAGTTCCAGCTATCATTGCTAATACTTTATATAATTTTCACAAGAATCCTTTGAAGAACATATTATTATCCCATTTTACAGATAAGGAAACTGAGTTAGAGACTTAATAACTTGTCTAAGGTCACACAGACAAAACATGACAGCAAGTATTTGAACCTGGGTGTTCTTGCTCTAGGAACAGAGCTCACAGCACTTACGAAAGCAGAACCACCAAGAGGAAGGCCTGGACACTCTGAAGATAGTACCCACACAATATAGTACTAGAGGAAATTTCAAAAGCACAGTAGAGGTTAGTAGTCAAGCAAAATGCTAAAAGCAGAAACAAAGAGTGCTTTCTTATTTTAAAACACCTTATCTGGGAGTTGCAGGGGGGAGAACAGAGAAGAGCAATAATACAATAAATAAAGTACAAGCTTGAATTTACATTTAGAGATGAAAAATATGTTTTTTAATACCCAACAAGAGAAAATTAAAAAAAAAAAAAACCCACTTAGTATTAAAAACCGTAGTCAGGGAGGTTATAATTAATACCTTTTCCAGGCAATGATGAATAAATGAGTGTGTCAAGCTGGTGGGAAAAGGAACAAATGCATAGTGAGCTCCAAGAACCTACTGGAGATATTTTATCACATGTAGTGAAAAGAAGGGAAAAAGTCAAAATCTTAGGACAGAGATGCTACAAGGCAGCAATTGTCATGAGCGTTGGTTAGGCTTTGTCCTCCCTGACTGTCCAGGCTCTCTTTCCTCAAATTGTCTTATTCAGTGGGATGCCTTCAAAACATGTCACAGTATCTGACACACAGTGATGCTTAACATAAGTTTATTGAATGAAGAAATAAGTTATCTTATGGATTGCATCCATTCAATGGGTCATTTTAATGGTACATTTTAGTGAAAGTACAGTTTTTGTTTTAAGTCTTATGTAGTGCTTTTGCTTTCCTAGGCATTTTTAATATGTCTTCCTGACTCCAGTACCTCACTTAATATCTGATACACAGTAACATTAAATATTTGTGAATAAAAGAACAAATGTGTGTCTCATAAAGCCTGGCAAGGGCTGGGGTTGTGGCTCAGCGGTAGAGCGCTTGCCTAAGCATGTGCGAGGCCCTGGGTTGGATCCTCAACACTACATAAAAAATAAATAAATAAAACAAAGGTATTGTGTCCAACTACAACTAAAAAATAAATATTAAAAAAACCTGGCAAACTACAGAAGATGTGGATTTATGACTAAATAAAGACCTGGTGTTCCATAAGGACAGCTGTTTACCTATCAATGAGGATAATACATTTTTTGCTTCTAAAAGGAGACATGGATATTTGCAAAATACCTTCCCAATACAGAGCTTTCTATTTCTTGGATGGTAACTACTTTTAAATATTCCTTTATAAAATACAGCAAGTTAAATGCAACATCAGAATTCTAGACAACTCTAGATTCAAAGGCATTCGTTGAGAAAATTCCATTTCTCTCTATTATTTTTTTTAAACTATGGGAATTTCATGAACATATACTTACCTAGGCCCACAGTAATGGGAAGTGAAGATGAAGGAAGCCATCAAGTATCCTTCTCTCCATTAACCAAGAGACAAAGTGCTGAGGAGAATGTATACAGTGCACAATAAGGTGTGGACAGTCACCTCCTAAGGCATACTTACTGGAAGCTCAGGGGCACGCTTCAAGATCTGAAGAGCAATGTAGCTGCCTATTGAATGGCCAATGAGCATAAGCTTTACTTCCTTTGGCACATGGGTTCTCAGGAATGCTAGTTTGTGTTCTATCTGACCATGTAGTCCATAGATGTCCTTAATTTCTTGAGCATTTGCATCTAAAAGCAAAAACAGGAACATGCTTTCATTCAATAAGTAAACATACTAAACTGGAAAAATCTTAAAAAAAATACTGATCATTTATCAAAAGGCTACAGTGTATTAGGTAATTAAATAATATCAATCAATCCTCACAACAATCCTGAGAGGGAAATATTATCATTTTCATTTTCCAGATGAAAATCTCAACACTGTAGGTATCATGTAACAGAGGGACAGTCACAGACTAAGTAGAAGAGGTGAGACTCCAATTTGGGTCTTTTTGTCCTCAAAGCCCATGATCTTTCAACTATTCCACGAACTACTGGTAGTTTAGGTAAGTGATTCTTAAACTTGAGCATGCATGCATCAGAATTCCCTGGAGGGTCTTGTAAAACAGATTGCTGGGTCCTACCACCAGAGTTTCTGAGTCAGTAGGTCTGGGTTTGGGCCCAAGAATTTGCATCTGTTTCTAGGAGATGCTGATGTGCTGATTTCAGGACCACACATTGAGAACCTCCAGTTTAGGTTAGTTTTTATTATTAATAAACAACCAAGAAAGTCCTACACTGCCTTAATATTTTAGATAATCTTTGTTTAAAGAACTCAGACTCGAAAGATCCAGGTAGGAATGTTGTAAACTGTTTCTTTTAACCAGTACATCTTTTGACTTGCTTGAACTAACTTTCTTTTCTGTCACAAATGAACTATTTTTCAGATTCTTCAAGATGTAATGAAAAACTATCCCTGCCTTCGAGAAGATCACAGTCCAAGAAGAAGAAATATACATAAAAACACAATTATAAAAACCTCAAGAAATTATCTAAAGCATTTGGGAAAAGAATAGGGTTTTAATGGATCATGATAAAAGGTAATCCTCCTTTGGATTCATAAAAAGTAAGGCACCCTTAAGTTACCTAAGATAAATACTAGACAACATTCTTTGTTACATGCTCATTACTATAAATGTACAAATTTAAGTATAATTTGAATGCAAGCAGAACAGTCTAAATTTAACTACATATTTAATTATATATACATACACACACACATATATACATGTCTAGCTACACACTGAACACAAATACATAACTTTAACTATATATTTTCATATAGCATTTAAGGTCTTCCATGACCACAGTACTGATATGATTACAGCACTACCTGAGCCTTTTGCTAAGACTGGATCTGTAGACCATAACTCTCTACATCTCACACAAGAATTTTCTTAACTACTGAACTCTTCCTTTCTGTTCTACAAAGCTATATCTTAACAATAATTGTGATCAAACAACTTATATGTAGAATTAAAAAGGCTAATGACAGAACTTCATATTGAAAAAATGCTTTGAGCAAGAGGAGTATTCGGTTTATTTCTTAGGTAAGTTCTTTATAAGACACAAAACCATACCATGTATTGTTCATCTTACATAAATAATGAAGAATATAAAAAGAACCATTATATATTTACTCTAAATTTATGATAGCAGAACTGGAAAATATCCACGAAGAAGACAAAACCTTTTAATGTATTATTTTACTTCATTTATTTTTATTGATAAAAATATCAAAGTATATGGCAGTGTTATCTGTCAATTGTGAGTAAAAAAAACTTGAACTGTTATATAATTGTAGAAACTATTAAACTTTTATGTTTTTTAAAAATTTCTCAAAATATTAAAACAATGCTTAAATATACTGTTCCCAGGTATCTGACCTCTAATGTATAGGGAAAACTATCCTTCACTTCTTTATTATTCAAATGGGGCACAGAATCACCAAAGGATGCTCTGTGTTCATGGGAAACACCAAGGAAGCAGCTGGATGAGAACCATGGTCCCTAATTCTTTATGCTTACTTAATTCACAGATATGAAAGGCCTTCTTTTCACAACTGACTCAAGTTTGCTAAGCTGATGTGAAAGTTTACTCATACCTTAGGCTCATCTGTTCTGGGTACCCTAAATATTCTGTAAGTTCCTTGTATCAAAACATGGGTGCGGCTCCTAATTCTGAAGGTATGCAACATGTGGAGAGGATGTAGATAGGCACTCTATTTAAAACTGCTATCTTAATAATAAAAAGCTGTAATTTCCAAGCATACATCTTAAAAATATTTTTAAATTATTATTTTCTAAACAGATGGTGAAATCAAGGGTCCTCAAATTACGTTTTCCACTTGACTAACACCAGTGATCTGCTAAAGACTTCACAGAAGAAGTGTGGGAAACAGGAGAGAGATTCAGCACGAACATACTGTTATAGACTTAGGAAACAGAGCAAGAAGCACAGAAGTGTGAGGTGAGATTTCAGAAACAGCCATGAGTTCTGGGGCTATCTGTGGTTACTGGGAGAGGTGGAACAAAAAGGAAGACTGTGACTAATCAAGAAGGGCATGAACGATCATACCAATCACACCAAGGAGTCTGCTCTCATTTTCTGAGCAGTGAGAAGACTTCTAAGGACTGTGAGCCTGCAGCAGCATGGTCTGGTCGGTGATTTTGGACAGAACTGCCACGTTGACACTCCCTAGTCCTTCCCTCTGTCCTGAGACTCTAACACTGCACTTGATTTTGACTTCTTCCTTGTCCTGTCTCTTGGTTTTTGTACTTCTTTCTACCCAGAGACCTGCTTTCACTCCTACTGTGAGCCCTGAGACTGAACTGACCGACTATTCCTGCTTTGGGCTCATCTAGTCAGTCCATCTTTCCTCATGTCTCTGCTCGTCTAGTCCCAGCAAGAAAGAAAGCTCTACAGGTTTTTCTCTCTTTCTTTCCATTTGGGAGACTGTAGTGGCAGAAGTTGATAACATTTTAGATAATGCATTATTCAAATTCATCACTAATTACAAGATTTTCTGAGATATTTTTAGGCAATGTTTTTAATCTGTTAAACTGAACCAGTATGATTTCTAGCTTCTATTTTGTACTTCTTGAACAAATAACTTAAAATTGTTGGTAATGATTCTAGTAAATTAAAGCCAAAAAACCAGTTATACTTCTAATTCCTCAAATTTTCTTTTCACTTTTTTCTTTTTGAATCATCCCTTCTGACATTGGTGAACATCTGTTCTCTCAATTATAGTCAATTTGTGACTGTGATAATGTGGTGCAACTAGAATATTATTTCCAACTGTGCATAATTTTAACACGTGCTAATATGAAGCAAAACATACTGTTGCCATCTGATGTGTCATTATGGTTTTCTCTCAATACATATTTTTCACACCATACTTTGGGTGTCAGAAAACTTGTACCTTAGGACAATAATCTTGGATGGTGAATATAATATATCTGTCCTGTCTACACAAAGCAACCTTCTAGAGCATACACTTTCAAACACAACGTTCAACATGTAAAACAGGTGAAAGCACAACTGTTCTGCTCAAATGGGCATTGGTAAGGCCCAGGCTCAGCCTTCACAGAACTTTTGAGCTACCCAGAATCACTGTCCTAAAAGTAAAGACTGGCATGTCATCTCCTTCTACTCCCCTGCAATACCACACATGATAATCTAGTTGGCAGTCAATAAATTCTTCATGGTGACGAGTTGTCTTTTCACCCTCTCTAGACACCACAGCCTCCTTTGGCCCATGGTGGCCCTCTGGGCTAATGCCTCTAGATGGCACTGTTCTCATGAGATAGCAAAGAACCCAGGCTCCAATTACTAAGTTATTAACAGAGCAGCCCAAACAGCAATAAGCATACTCAAAGATGCAAATAAGATGTTGATTTAGAACAAGAATTAAAGACATGTCCTAGAAATGAAAACATGCAACACATAGTTTCTATTGGTTTTGTTCATCAGTATCCAATGGGGCAGACAGAGGTCAATGATTCTGAAAGCATGGTCCCAGGATTAGCAGCATCCTTATTACTTGGAAGCTTGTTGGAAATACAAATTCTTAGATTCCCACAGATCTATTGAATCAACACCCTTGGGGGTGGCCATTTATGTCTTAATAGATCCTCTAGGTAATTCTGATACATGCCAAAGTTTCAGAACCCTTGATCTATGGCAATCCTTCCAGTCTGTTTAGACTTTCAAAGCTGCTATTCATGTTTTGTTCAAATGTTTGCATTCTGTCTTTAGCACGAGTTCTAATGGTAAATGTGATTGGCTGTTGCTCTGATTAAGGAATTTGATACATAAATTTTCTCTCCAATGCATGGCCTTTCTCACCAAAGTAAAACTGTAGGAATAAGACATACTCACCACTCACCATTAAAAAGTTGACACAGCAAAAGAATAGGAATAAACCCTTCCCAGTACCTTGTAGTATTCCCATTTCTTCCTACTTCCCAGTCTTTGGATTATCTCTTTTCTTGACTAGTTCAGAAAATAGGCCAGAACAGCTGGTAGATTTTTGAAGATTGGCACATCAAATAAACCTTTTTTCTAGGAAAAATTCTTCTTTTTTTTCCTCTAGTGCTAGGGATCCAAACAAAGGCCTCAGATGCTAGGCAAGAACTCTACCACTGAAGAAATTTTTTTGTTGGTGCATATTAATTACACAAATCGGTGGGCTTCATTGTGGCATATTGGTACATGAACATAACATAATTTGATCAATTTCACTCTCTAATACCTCCCCTAACCTTTTCCTCCTCCTTTCCCCCACTCCCCTTCCAGAAAAATTCTCTTAATAGCTATTTTCTAAATACAAGACTACAAAAAACATATTATAAACAGATCAGAATTTCCTGATAAAGGAAGAGCTATGTATGATAATAAAGCCCCAATTTTGGGCATATATAAACGAATATTTGAAAATATTTCATAGCAGAATAAGTACATGTTACATTTTATTCACTTTCAGTTACGTTTGAAAGAGAACTTTGGTAGAGGCAAGCACTTTATCAACAGAGCTATATTCCCAGCCATGAAAGAGAAATTTTAAATCAAGGCTGCAATTTGTATATTCAATTTGTATATTCAGTTTCATTACTCTGTTAAAAATCAAGTTAGATAATCACTATTCATTCACCTTTCAAAATATGCCCTTAAAACAAAACAAAACATGCCCTGATTCTAATGGAGAGTGTTGCTAATTTTAAATTCTAATTTTTCATTGCTGCTAAATAGAAAAGCAACTGATTTTTATATATTAACCTTGCATCCTTGATATGGCAACAACCAAGAGTTTTCTGTTGTTGTGGACTCTTAGGGATTTCCTACACAGAAAGTCATATCTTCTGCAAATTAAAAGTTTTATTTCTTTTTCCCCAATCTGCTTATCTTTTAATTCCCTTTTTTGTCTTACTACATTAGCTAGGAATTGCAACCCAGTGATGAATATGAGTGGTGGGAAGGGACATCTTGTCTTGTTCCCTTTCTTAGGAGGAAGCGTTTGGTTTCTTACCATTAAGTATAATGTTATCCATTTGTGTACAATATGTCAAAATGCATTCTACTGTCATGTATAACTAATTGGAATTTTAAAAATATGATAGTTTTTACAAATATTCTTTATCAATTTGAGTAAGTTTCCCTCTATAACTAGTTTCTGAGATTTTTTAAAAATAATAAGTATTTTTTTTAACTGTGTTTTCTATATCAATTGATAGGTACAATTAAACATTTTTTTCTTTACATTTCAGCTTGGGAAGTTTCTATTGACCTATTTTCAGACTCACTTATTCTTTCCGCAGATACATCTAGTCTACTGGTGATCTCTTTGTAAAATCTTTCGTTTTTTATTGCAGTATTTCTTAGTATTTTTTTTTGGAAATTTCTTAAGAGTCTCCAACCCTGGCTTGGTTTAGCCATTCTTTCTAACATGCTATTCTTTCCACTAGAGTCCTATACTCTATTAACAGTAGTTATTTTAAATTTCATGATAATTTCAAAATTGGTAATAAGCATAGACCTGAGTTTAGCTCCATACTTTCTTTATTTAGTCAGACTGGTTTATCTTGACTTTTACAATGCCTTGTAATTTTTGTTGTTGTTGTTTAAAACCAGACATGATGTATCTGGTAACAGGAACTAAGTTAAAAAGATTTTTTTTTTTATGTGAGGCTTTGTTAATTAATTAATGGCTAGAAGTTGGGTTGTATTTAATGTTTACTGTACTTGTAGATGCCAGAGACTTCAGTTTCCTCTAAGTTCCTGTTTTCTATCCTTTGTCATCACTGGCTTTCCCTAAGAACTCCTCATTAAACAAACTCTGTGTCTTGTGATTTTTGTAGCTGCAATACACTTTCATTATAAATTTCTCTTTCAACAGAGGTCTGTTGAGGTAGTGATAAAATATGGAAGAGAAAAGTATCTTATAACCTATAATTAAAGCTCAGTCTCTACGTGGGCCTGAAAACCTGTACTGTGATCTTCCAAAGAGCCTGTCACCTTTTCCCCCACCTCCAGGATAGAGAAATCTTTCCTCAGGAACACTGGTTAAGTGTCCTTCCTCAGGTTAGATAAGGGTCTGGCAAAAGAGAAGCCTTTGTTGTTGAGAATGCTCTGGGCATCCTGCAAAATTCTTCTCCATGGGTCAAAAACTTTGCAGAAATCTTCCTCAGATATTCAAAAAATAATCTAATGGAGTTTCTGGAGGTAACACCCAAGAAAATGTGGGTGGGTGCGCAAGAGGAGTCCTATGGGAGTTTCTCACGTTCACCTCCAATAATTCATCAAAATCACTATTGCATATTCTATCAGCTTATGGCTCTCTGATCCTCCACTTCGGGTATTCTCTTCTCTCCAAATTCCAGGTGGGAATTTGTCCTGTGACCTCAATTCTCTGCCAGATCTAAGAAAAATCACCGGATTTCATTTTTTTAAGCTTTTTTCTTATTGTGAGGATGAAAGTGACAAATTCCAAGTTCTACATGTCAGAGATAAAAAACAAGTCCACTACTTGTTTTTTAAAATCATTCGACACTGAAAGTTTTCTTGGTACATAATATATGCCCACTTATTTTTTGGACAGGTAATACAAAGTAAATAAATTTTGAAAAAATACCCTCAGAATAAAAATGTAACCATTTTATTAAGGCTTAAGATATACACTTTATCATGACATTGTCATAGGGAAGAAAGCATTAAAATTCACTTATTAGACAATTCTTAAGATACTTATTTCAGCCTGGAAAAAACTCCTCAGCTACTGTAGAGAAAGTGTTAAAGGCACTGGGAAATCTCATTTCTCTGCCAAGCTGCTAATGCTTGTTTGATTTGAGGTTGAGAAAATTTAAACATAATTAAAAAAAAATTATAAAGCTACAGCATTCTTTTTCCAACCTTTATATTAAGGAAAACTATTTGTTTTACTTTCTTGTTTAGTTTTGAATTGCTTAAATTTTTAAATAATAAGTACATATAACTGTTTAATACAAAAATATGATTAAAAATTTCCATTTTGAAAATAAATTGTACAATGTTAGTCATTAAAACTAACAGATTAGCTATAAAATAAAAAAGTTAAGAACCATATTTAACTAGATGAATTGATACTGTTTATAGGATCTGAAACACTTACCCAAACTAACAATAGATTAATAAATCAAGCTTTAGAAGCTGTTCAAAAATGTTCAGCATGACAAATCTTTACTCCTCACACTTCAGATAGAGCCCTAATATCCAGAGTATACAAAGAACTCAAAAAATTAGACAATAAGAAAACAAACAACCCAATCAACAAATGGGCCAAGGACCTGAACAGACACTTCTCAGAGGAGGACATACAGTCAATCAACAAGTACATGAAAAAATGCTCACCATCTCTAGCTGTCAGAGAAATGCAAATCAAAACCACCCTAAGATACCATCTCACTCCAGTAAGACTGGCAGCCATTATGAAGTCAAACAACAACAAGTGCTGGTGAGGATGTGGGGAAAAGGGTACACTTGTACATTGCTGGTGGGACTGCAAATTGGTGCAGCCAATTTGGAAAGCAGTATGGAGATTTCTTGGAAAGCTGGGAATGGAGCCACCATTTGACCCAGCTATTCCCCTTCTTGGTCTATTCCCTAAAGACCTAAAAAGAGCATGCTACAGGGACACTGCTACATTGATGTTCATAGCAGCACAATTCACAATAGCAAGACTGTGGAACCAACCTAGATGCCCTTCAATAGACGAATGGATAAAAAAAAATGTGGCATTTATACACAATGGAGTATTACTCTGCATTAAAAAATGACAAAATCATAGAATTTGCAGGGAAATGGATGGCATTAGAGCAGATTATGCTAATCGAAGCTAGCCAATCCCTAAAAAACAAATGCCAAATGTCTTCTTTGATATAAGGAGAGTAACTAAGAACAGAGTAGGGACGAAGAGCAGGAGAAGAAGATTAACATTAAATAGGGATGAGAGGTGGGAGGGAAAGGGAGAGAGAAGGGGAAATTGCATGGAAATGGAAGGAGACCCTCAGGGTTATACAAAAGTACATACAAGAGGAAGTGAGGGGAAAGGGAAAAATAATACAAGGGGGAGAAATGAATGACAGTAGAGGGGGTAGAGAGAGAAGAGGGGAGGGGAGGGGAGGGGGGATAGTAGAGGATAGGAAAGGCAGCAGAACACAACAGACACTAGTATGGCAATATGTAAATCAATGGGTGTGTAACTGATGTAATTCTGCAATCTGTATATGGGGTAAAAATGGGAGTTCATAACCCACTTGAATCAAAGTGTGAAATATGATATATCAAGAAATTTGTAATGTTTTGAACAACCAACAATAAAAAATTAAAAAAAAAAGAAAAAAAATAAATCTGAAGGATTTACTCACATAAAAAAAAAAATAAGTACAATAAAAATGTCAAGTGTTTCGACACGCTCAGTTGATCCTTAGCTACTAAATGTTGCTAAGGAGGGTATAGACCAGGTCTTGCTGCCAAACTATTCAAGTGAAATGTTCAGGAAGTCATTCAAGTTTCCTGAACTAGAGCAATATATAATATTTCTAAGACATGGATGGTAAACTATTTTGCAAAACCACTTAGGTATTTAGTATGCCTAGCTGACTGATTAACATTCCTTCATACCAGATGTCTGGTTCTTCTCTATGCATATAAATTTTGTGGTTTGTGGGTGAACAATAACTCTATAAAGAAATCAAGTAGATGATGCTGAAGATGAAGGTGAAGAGATCAAATAGAAAATTTGCCTAAATGATAAATCTTAACATAAAAACAGAATTTGTAAGTGAATCTGAAAGTGTAGAATTTCATGTTGACTTAGATCTAAGATATAAATGAGATAACATATACAAAAAAATTATCCTCTGATAATTCTTATGCAAAAAAATTCTATCAAGTGAATGAAAATTTCACAATAAAATGTTTGTAAAAAAAAAATGTTCAGCATGTAATCATATTTACTACATCATATTTACTCCCTGGCCTGGGAGATCACTTCTTTAGAGACCATGCCTTTTATTTTTCTTCTACTTCTCCTCCTATCACAACTTTGGAAATATGCTATCAATAAATATATAGTGAATTAAAAAAAAGAAGGAAAGTCATATGTAGACTATTTGATCTACCCAAATTCTTACAGAGAATTCCTGCATAAGATTTAAAGTGTCTCTAAAAATCTTAAAAATACCAAAATGTGGCTTACACAGGGGTTCTCATTGGTAAAACTTTTTTGGGGGGAGGGGGGTGTAGCAATTATTTATTACTTTAAAAGTCAGTTCTCTCTTTTTTAAGACTGTTAGGTTAAATTAATCTTAATTATATAACTAAAAAAACAAATACAGAAGTTTATCAATAAATTTTTTGGTCTGACTTGGTTATCTGTTGTGTTATTAAAAAACCATTCCCACAACATAGTAACTTAAAACAATAACAACATTTATTTTGCTCATACACCTGTAATCTGATTAATGCACATCAAAGTCACCTGTTACATATAGTGGCGCAAAGTGTAGGGGATGAAATCATTGGTAAAACTCTTAATCTTAGCGGCTTTCTAGAAACAAGAATACTCATTCACTGTAAAGGAAACTAAATGTTAACAAGGACATACCTTCTGATGCTGTAAGAATCTTCGTGTCTTTGGGGGCCAAGGCATGCCCAGCATGACTGATAGTCCAAACTGGAAAGCATCTGTTTGTCAAAGAGTACAAAGCTTTTGCAAATGGCACATAAAAAGAAGAAAAACCCGGGTTACCTAGGAAAGAGACAAAGACCTTAGATTAATCAAACTCCTGTAAGAAGATGCAGACTAGAAAGGAAAGGTCAATTTCTCTTCACACTGTGCTCTACAAATCCTGCAATTTTATACCTATACTTTAATTTTTAATATCCTTTCTACCTTAAGTCTGGGAATAACCACTCAGAAAATTCTGTTCCTGCTTTTTCTCCAACTATTTCAAGTAAACTCTCCCTATTCCTCAATACACTAACTGGAATCACTAAACACAAACCAAGTGCTTAAACCCAAACACTGAGAGTCATTCTTGGTTTCTCCCTGTCCTTCACATCCAGCTTACCAATAAGTTCTGCTAAGTTAGCTTCCAAAATGCACCTCAAATTTGCCCATCTCTCTCCATTAGTGATCATCACTTCCCAGGTTTCCTACAACAGCATCCTAACAGGTCTCTCGGCTCTTGTCCCCTTGGAATCCATTCTTCAGGAAACCATAGAGATATATCTTCAAATCTCATCCGTTTTAAACACCCTTGAGTGGCTTCCCACTGTCATTTGGATAAAGTCTGAAATCACTAACACTGCCTATAAGACCCTTCAAGGTTTGACTGGCTCATTTATTAAGCTGCATGAAAATTAAACAAACAGGCCAGTCAAATCAGGGTTACTATCCCACACAAAGAGAACATTAAGGAATACTCAGTGTTGACTTGTCATTATCACAAGTACTTATGCTGCAAACTGATGTACTTATCTTTGAAGGACACAAACTAATACATATTTTTCTTGTGTGTATTCAGAAAGTATTTTTGACATACTTCTGATATAGAGAAATTGAATAAATAAATTATCTTTTTAAAAAGATTCAATCTAACACATGTGCATTGGAAAACGACAGTGAAATGGGGTTTTCATCTTGCAATTGTCTGGTTCATCTTCAGTTACTAGTCCATTGCTATCACTATCTATTTCTCCATTCAATTTATTGATTTCTTCTTGTTAGGTTTTCCCCACCTTACTTGAGTGCACTGATATAAATAACCACAGCCAAACTTCACTGATTTTTTTTTCTCAACTGTTCATATCTTTCAGTTTCCTGGTTAGGCAGCACAGCAAGGTGCATAGATTCTAAGCCAGGTGTAGTAGAGCACGCTTGTGGAAGACTAAGGTTGGAGGATCACTAGAGTCCAGGAGTTCTTGACTAACCTGGGCAATATGGTAAGAACCTATCTCAAAAAAAGGAGCTGGGGGGGGGGCGGCGGGGTTATGGCTCAGTGGTAAAGCACTTGCCTAGCATGCATGAGGCACTGGGTTTGATCCCTGGCACCACTTAAAAAAATAAACAAATAAAATAAAGCTATTATGTTCATCTACAACCAAAAAAATTTTTTTTAAAAAAGGGTTGGGGATATACCTCAGTTGGTAGAGTGCTTGCCTTGCATGCACAAAGCCATGGGTTTAATCCCCAGCACCACAAAACAAACAAACAACAACAACAAAAAACAAAACAAACAAACAGAAAAAAAAAATGGAGCTGGGCACTGTGGCACACACTTGTAATCCCCTATAATGGCCTCATAGGCAGTGTTAGTGATTTGGGGGATGGAAGCAGGAGGATCACAACTATGAGGCCAGCTTCAGCAACTTAGTGAGACTCTATGTCAAAAATTTAAAAAGATGCTGGGGATGTAACTCAGGAATCAAGTTCTATCCCCAGCAAAGACTGGAGCCAGAGTGCCTGGTTTGGAGTCCTGGCTTCCCCACTTACGAACTATGTGAACTTTGGCAAGTTATTTAACCTCTCTGTGTCCTATTTCTTCATCTATGAAATGGAGATAATAGTCATACTACTTTGTGTAATGACCAAATGAATTAATTCAACATTGCCTGCAACATAATATGTGCTACATAAATATTAGCAATTCAAACTTGTAAACCAATGTATAGCCATACTGTCAGTTTGCTTTCGTTGCATTCTAACCTAGTGCTCCAATTGCTCCAAGTTCCAAATTCCTTTTTGTGATGGTACTATATTGTCATTTTTGTCAAATAGGTAAAAACTTCCTCAAATGCAGTTATGTACTCTTAGCTAAGGGAGATGGAAGAGGGGAAGGGTATACTAGCACAGGGGTTGTGCAACTAAGATGGATGTGGGTGGCACTGCTTCATGTTTTATAAATATAAATTTTCAATAAGTTTGGAATATTTTTAAGTAAAAAGTACAAAGTAGCAATCCACTTCTTTCCTAGTAGCTAGCCAAGTGTCCCAAGATCATTTATTATATAACTCTTTGCATTGATTTGAGATGTCTTTTGAGCCAATACAAAAATTTTGATGTCAGCTTGCTAATTCTGATTTCAAATAATCCTGTTTATTTTTGCTTTTCTCCTCTACCAGTACCATCCTGTCTTAATTACTACACTGTGTATTTAATGTCTCAGTAACTGGTAGGGCAAATCCCTTTTCTTTATTTTTCTCTTTCTAAATTTCCAAGGCTTATCTCATAAACTTTAGGATTAGCTTCACTAATTTTTAAAAATCTCTTTGGGATTCTTATTAAAATTTCATTTATTTATACATTATTTTAAAAAGATTTAATATTATATATCACTGGGTATAATTTAGGAGTGTGTTCTACCCCATATTCAAATGTTTTATACTGTGGTGAAGTTCTACAGACTTCCTCATATGGCTAGAAACTACTAAAAGCTAACATTTTTTAAGTGCAGTAAGTTACTGCATACAGTATTTAAGAGTTTTACATCCACTAACTTAATTAATTACATTTTGAACGAGATAGTAACAAGGTAGCAAGAGGTTAAATAACTTGCCCAAGGCCACATAGATGGCTAGTGTTCAATAAATATATGATCACTGAAAGAACAGATGAAAGAAAATATTGTTGAATAAAAAAATACACAAATGACCTGGTCTAGGATATTCTGTATATATGTAGTTTTAATTAGTCTTATAATAGCTCTATAAAGTAGGTGGCATCAGAGATAGTGAATAAACAACCACTTATACCAATATGTGGCACACAGTAAGAGCTCAATAAATTGTATCTGTTATTATTATAATTAAAAACTGATTTAACATTAAGAAGATAGTAAAGATAACAACTACATAATTTAGATGCAACATGTCTATAATGACAGGATATATAAAAACCAATGAGTACTAGATAATAGAACAGCTATGAAATAAATTTTTCTCCCTCTCTCTGGGTATAAGTTTGAGTTTTTTCCCTTACTAACATAAGGACTTAAGTAAACCCCCTTAATGTTCTGAGCCATTATTTCATCATCATCAAGTAAATGATGATGCTATGACTACATGCTCATTCACTCTATTTGGCATTATAGCTTCTCTTGCATTTTCTTTAGGCCATCAATTATTTTTTGAGCATTTACCATATGAAAGCCACCAAGCAAGGCACAAGACAGATAATCTGAGGAAAGACAACACTAAGCAAAGGCTCTCAAGAAATAAAGAACATTAAAAAAAAAAAAAAAAAAGGAAAGGAAATAAAGTACATGGCTCCTAAAGCAACAGAAGAGAGTCCAATTCTTGGTTCTTCTTTTCTATATCTAATGTATGGACTGCATTCAGTGGGGCTATACCACTGAGCTACATCACAAGCCCTTTTTAAATTTTGAGACAGGTTCTCACTAAGTTGCCTGGGCTAGCCTCAAACTTGTGATACTTCTTCCAACATGCTGGGTTCACAGATGTGTCACTATGCTCAATGGTAATTTGACTTTTAATCTAAGTAATACTGGAAGAGTGAGTATAGCAGGGTTAAGGCATGAGCAGATTTACATTTAAAAATATTTTTCTGGGGGCTGGGGTTGTGGCTCAGTGGTGGAGCACTCACCTCGCACGTGCGAGACCCTGGGTTCGATCCTCAGCACCACATACAAAAAAATAAATAAATAAACAAGTGAACAAAAATTTGAAAAAAAAATTTTTCTGTATCCAAAGAATAATTAGGAAATATTATGAAAATTTTTGTAGCATAAATTTAGAACAGATGAATGAAGTGGATAACTCTCTGAAAAGACAAACTATCATGCTCACTCAAAAAGAAACAGAATAGTCCTATTATCAAAGAAATTAAAATTTTAGTTAATAATTTTCTCACAAAGAAAATCCAGGTCTGTATGGATTCACTGGTGAATTCTATCAAATACTTAAGGAAGAAATAATACCAAATCTATAAAACTCTCCCAGAAAATGGACAAGGAAGGAAATTTTCCAGTTCTTTGTATCAGGACAACATCACTTTCATACAAAAACCAGGCAAAGACATTACAAAAAAAAAAAAAAGAAGAAGAAGAAAAATATATACCAATGGCCCCATGAAGATAGCTGGAAAAACCCTAGGAAAATTTTACTGAACTGAGTCCATCAAAATGTAAAAAAAATACATAATGTATGGAAATATTACAGTGAATTAATGTGTGAATTATTATAATAAAAATCATAAAATTAAAAAAATACATCATGACACAGTAGAGTTTTTCACAGGAAAATATAATTGGTTTTGTACTGAAAAATTAATTAATATTATGCACACTTACAAACTGAAAGGAAAACAATAATAGGATCCTTTTAATATACCCAGGAAAATGGAAGTTATTTCTTCATGAATATACTTAACAATGTGGCATGTATAATTATAAATGTGCCATACAATGAAGGGAACTTCATGAAATAAAATGAAGAATTCCTGATCTGTAAGTTAATCAATTGCAGCAGAGCACCAGAAATACATCTATGTGTGATGTTGCATATTTTATATAATCCATGCATCAACATTAAAAATTCAATCATGCTAAAAATCAGATAGAATTATTTTTGTTAAATCACTATCATATGAAAACATGATGGCCAATAAACAAAGAAAACATTTCATAGAGGTGTGGCAGGCAGTTAATTTAAAAATTTGATATTTGCTGAATGATACTAAATGAGTCAGGGGCAGAAGAAGTGGTGGGTGTGGTGCAAGCATGGAAATCCAGGCTCCTGCCTTTAGCAGGCACCAGCTATTCAGCTTCAAAGTTTCCCCTTTCTTGTGTATCTTTTCAGATATTTCATATATTACCTTTTCACATTTTATATACAAATGACAGTGATGCACACAGTTCTGATCCTTGCTTTTTTTCTTTTGCTATAAATTAAAATTGTTCCACATCAGTACATTAAGTGTTTTTTCTCTTTCTTTTCTACTTTTTTTTTTTTTTAACTGTATGGATATAACTCTGAAATGATTAAGATCCATCTGATAAGGAGTTAACACCCAAAATACTGAAGGAACTCATATAACTAACAGGTATTTAAGAAAATGTTCAACACCATCATCTATCAGAGAAATGCAAATTATAACCAAAATGAGATATCACCTTACATCTGCTAGAAGAGCTATTAGCAAAAAGACAAAATACCAGTACTGGTGAGGACATAGAGAAAAGAGAAACTTTGCACACATTAGTGGGAATGTAAATTAGTATAGGCATTATGAAAAATGGAGGTTCCTCCAAAAACTAAAAATAGAACTAGCTAAGACCCAACCTCCCACTTCTAGGATGGAAACAAAACCTGTATCTTGAAGAGACATTTGTTCTCTTATGTTAATTGCAGCACTATTCCCAAGATATGGAAACAACTTCAGTGTCCATCAAATGAAGACTGGATAAAGAAAATGTGGTATGTATTCACAATTGAATACTACTCAGCCTTCAAAAAAGGAAGAAATACTGCCATTTGTGACAACATGGTAAACCAAGAGGACATTATAGTAAATTAAATAAGCCAGGCACATAAAGACAAATACTTCATAATCTCACTTATATACAGGATTTTAAAAAGTCAAATTCACAGAAGTAGAGAGCAGAATGCTGGTTACCAGGGTGGGAAGTAAAAGAGTTGGGGAGATGCTGGCCAAGAACACAAAAGTTCAGTTAGGCAAATAAGTTGAAAGAATCATACATCACAGTAACTACAATTGATAACAATGAACCTTGAAAATTACTAGGAGATTTCAAGTATTCTCAGCACAAAAAAGTATGTGAAGTAACTCATATATTAATTACCTTGGTTTAGCCATTTTGCAATGTATACATGTATCAAAACATTGTGTATATCATAAATATATACAGATATGTAAATTTTGTTAATTAAAATATATATGCAGAGTAGGGAATAATCAGTGTGTAGTTGAAACTGAGGCTAGGCACAAGTAAAAGGGAAGAGTTATCCAAGAGAATGGGTATTTCTCCAGTTCCATTATTTCCTTTTACAAGTGTGGAATATATAACATCTATTCCCTTGAAGGCCTTGGGGAATGCAATGCGAAATCCCTAATGAAGGTGTGTTAGCTCTTGTTCTCCCTTGGCCTCTGCTAAAAACTTCATCAGATTATCAACTTCATATTATAGCCCCTAACTCTATTACTTCCTGTATGTCTGCATTGTAAGTAGAAAGAAATAAATTATCTCATTTTTAAATTTATTTCTCACTGGGTAAGTCTTCTTACTCAAACATAAAAGTTTAAGTTTTAAAAAAGTAGCCATGGCTTGTTGTAATTCTCTGTATCCAGTGTACCTAGCAGCACTGGGTTGGACACATGACAATCATTTACAGTAAGTTTTTTCAAAATGAATACATGGCCAATAACATGATGATCCAATTTATAGCAGAGACAGAAAGGAAACACACAATATAAGATGTTTAAATATGATTGCATGCTTCATACTTCACCATTTAAATGTTATGACTTATGTCATACTTTACAAACCATGAACTAAACTTCCTGGTTAAGAAACCACAAAGAAAATTACAGGGGCTTTGCTTATGCAACTAAACAAGAGCTATCCACACCCCCTCCATCCCCTACCCCCTGTCTCTCTCTTTCTCTCTCAGATCTCTAGAAAAGGGAATGTTGAAAAACATTCCAGTACAAAAAGGCAAGTAAATACTTTTTAAATCAAATGTTTGTATCAAAATGTGCTATAAACACACACCCAAAGAACACATAATAGTCAAATGCTCAAGCAAAGTACAACAGAGACTATGATTATAATATCTAGACCCTGACAGTCAATGAATTCCATTTAAGCACTGTACTTATAGACTATGCCTTCCAGTTAACTTTACAGGGGACAAAACTGTCATATATCAAGTTAGCATGACTCACCATTTATATAGAAGGTTATCATGTGTAAACTTTAGGCTCTTCCACAGAGCCTTGTCTGCTAGATCTCTAGTTACTGGATTCATAGCACAAGACACTTCATTTGATTCTATATTACCAATTGAAAATTAAATGATTTAGTATGTTCTACAGTGAGTTATCAAATTGCCTCTTTTGCTCAGTTCAACTATTTAAAATAAGTCCAAATACATTGTTGTTTAACAGAAATTCTAGATCTAAGGTTCACTAGAAAAGATGAAACTAAATTAAAAGTTCTTCAATCTGCTTTTCAGGATCTGGCTGGCAGTGGGTTAAAGTTTAGGTTCATTTTCATTTTATAGGATTACAACCATTTCCCTCTAAAAGTGAGTTACCACTAGCTAGTCTAGCATAGAAATGGCCTCCAGGAACAGTCTTCCTACCCACTCTCCCAACTTACTGGGCTTGATGACACAAATATCACAGTACATGCAAAAACTGCCTGCATAAGACCTGGTATTGGTAACTGTTCTGATATTTGCAAAAGTTATATGTGAGGTTTTTTCCAGGTTCACTGATATAGTATTTTAAACATCCTTATTAACTGAGCTTTTCTTTAAAGAGTTTAATTATAGAAAAATGCCATTACAAATCTGTTCGGTCTATGCAACTTGGTTATAACAATATTATGAGGAATCTAATACGTATTTTTAAAGATAATAAATAGTTTCTCGAATGACTTGACAACCAGTTGATAATGAGAAGTGAATCATAGGAGCACATCAAAATAAGATAATTTTTTGTTTATGTGACACTAAAACCTGACACTGATAATGTAAAATTCATTACACGTCACTATAGTGAGGACAGTAATGACTCACCTGGTGGATGAGGGATGTCAGCTCAAAGAACATTTCAGTTGTCACAAACAAGAAAACTTGAATTGCCTTAAAATTTTCAATTATGTGTAAAAGAAAATTGATGGAGATTTTTTCAATTTTATCAACAATACTAAAACTTTGCATGACATTACCAAGAGTTATAAAGCTGATTATTAATTAAACTATTTTTAAACTGATAACAAAAAACAAATGTTGGCCACAGATGCTAGAGGAAAGATGAGAATATCAATCTATTCTTTTTTTTTAATTATAATGGGAGAGGAGAGCAAAAAATATGCAGGCCAAAAAGTATACAGGGAAAAAAGAAGTGACTCAGGTAGTTAATTAATTATGAAAATTCTATGTTAATTTTCTGCATTTTAAATGTATATGCTATTAAATTTATAGTTGATTTTTTTCTTCTAAATATTATTCATTTTCAAGCCAAGTGAATAAAAAAAAGAAAAGAAAGAGAAATAGTGATGGCTATCTGTATAAAGTCTTCTCATCCAGATTTTTCTACTTACCAGGAATAATGAAAATAAGCAGTTTAGGTCTATTGACATTTTGATCATTAAAGAGGTCATCCCAGGGACCACATTTTAGAACCTGTGTTTCAACTCCACCACACAGAACAAATTCCTCATGTACAGGGATTTCTTCCTTGATTTCTGAGTCCATTTCTAAATAAAGGGAGAAAAGCAGCAAAATGTAAAACTTTGAGCCAAAAATAATTAACTGAAGAATTAAAAAGACAATTTTCAAAATACCAAGAAGGAAATGCTACAGTGTATATAGAAGACTAGCCAGCTATTCTTCTGGGGGGAATATACTGGGAACTGAACCCAGGGGTGTGCTCTATCACTGAACTATATCCCCAATCCCTGCTGCCTTTTAAATTTTTTGAAATAGGATCTCATTAAATTGAAGCTGGCCTCATACTTGTGATCCTTCTGCCTTAGCTTCCTGAGTCTATGGTATTGTAGATAAGTGCCATCATGTGGCACACCCAAGAGCTACTCTCCATTCTAGGAATGAAAGATAAAACACACATACATGGTAATAATGAAAACAGCCTTTGGGAAGCAATCTAGCAGCACTAGTCAATACCCATTAAAGGCATATACTTCAATTTAGTCATTTTGAGGAACTGATTCTAAAAAAATATCAAAAATACTTTTTAAAACTAATGCATGGGGGACTGTGGCTGTGGCTCAGTGGTAGCGCACTTGCCTGGCATGTGTGAGGCACTGGGTTTGGTCCTCAGCACCACATACAAACAAATAAATAAAATAAGGATCTATCAACAATTAAAAAAAATTTTAAAAAACCTAATGCATGGAATGCTATTTATTATGGTGAAAAGCTGAAGATCCTATATAGTCATTAATGAAGGAATGGATAAGGGAATTATGATAATTCATTATGCCAATACTAAAAATTCTATCATGACTCAATTTTGGGAATGATTAAACAAGCTGTAGTTCAATATTATGACCAAATGTTACATTCCATCAAGACTGCTATGAAGTTGCTTATAATTTATCCATTTACTTTCTAACATTTTTAAGATTTCACTTCTCCAGTTTGATGTTCTGTTGTCGCTGCTATTCTCTTTGTTTATGCCTTTACTATTTTTACTGTCAGCTTAGGGAATTTAGGGAGTAGGAAGAAATAATATATATTCTAATCTCCATGTTTAACCAGAAGTCATACACTCTTTTTTCTTAAATAGCAATACTAAGAAAAAATGAAAAATCCTTACTTAAAAAGTAGGGACCACTCTTTATTCAAAATATATTGATTAAATAAACAAAACTATCATTCAACTTTTGGTATGAATTGACTTTTAATTCATTAATAAATGTCACTGTAGCCCAGTCTCCAAAACTATCTTAAACAGAGTGTTTCTATAAAGGTCTTCTGACATTTACCATGTATTAGAAACAATATTAGATGGAGCTGTGAAACACAGTATTAAATTAGAACTGACTGTGAAGACACAAGCCACACTTTCACCAGAGGAGAATTCTGAGTTATTAAATACATTCAACTTATAAATATTTGAGACTATGACATCTTGGGAGTTTGATTAGCCATTAAACTAATGAAAATCCAAGTAGATATGAAATTTAAGTATAGTATATAAAAATTGGAAAACAAGCAGTTGCAATTCTAAAACATTTCAAATAAAATACAACAGAGAAGCATGGAATTAACATGTATTTCTAAACAATCTTTTACTTTCCTTCACTCTTATATTTCTGACTCCCACACAGCTATGTATAAGAAGAAAATGAAAACTCAAAAATGAGAGTTTGAATTCTTGCTTACCTAAGAATCCAAAGTAATTCAGTTCTGCAAGCAAGTGTCAGATTTACAAAGAAAAATGTGTTACAATTATATATTGAAAAAGGATGATGGTTCCACCTTCAGCCTCAGCCTATAAATGATCTTGAAGGAAATAAATCTGATAAGCATCAAGATCTAGGTAGGGTGAAAATCAAGTGTGAACATAACTTGTGCAATCTAGGCAGACCTGTTTTCTTAAATGCAGGTGTTCATTTGTAGATATGTAGAACATATAACAATGTTAGAAACCAATGGGTTTCTAATTTTATGTGGTAAGAGAATTTTTTTCCAACTAAATTGTATGAAAACCTAGACAATATTTAAAACAGAAAACCAGTATCAGATGGGTATAAATCTTAAGAGATTCAAATCTATAAAATTTGTTATTATAGTATTTATAATGTAAATATTTATAATAACAAGTCTTTATATTATAGCTAGACAATAACCTTACAACTGAACTAATGAACAAAAATAAGTGGAGTATGGGGCTGGGGATGTGGCTCAAGTGGTAGCGCGCTCCCCTGGCATGCGTGTGGCCTGGGTTCGATCCTCGGCACCACATACAAACAAAGATGTTGTGTCCGCCAATAACTAAAAAATGAATATTAGAATTCTCTCTCTTTAAAAAATTTATAAAAAAAATAAGTGGAGTTGTAAATATATTTGATTCAGGCTTCAGCATACATATGCAAATAAGGCCTACATTTTATTTTAGGTACTAGAATTGCTTTAGGTACTAGAATTGCCAATGGTAATTAAAAAAAACCAAAAACCAAAAAACTCGTGTTGCTATTTCCAGATAGTCTTCAATTAAATTACATTTAACTTAGTAAGATAGTTTTCTTCCAATGCTTAATAATAATAATAACTTGTATTATTTATTACATAAGTGGATAAGAGCTTCTAACTCTTCAAATTGCTAACTCATCAAAAACCAATATAAGAAAATAAACAAAAAGTCAATGGCTCTATTTCAAGTTTTTTTTTTTTTTTAGTGGCCTAATAGCTAATATCAATATGTTGGTTATATTCATTCAATGTTGAGTATACAAATAACAGAGGTGAGTCTGAGAGTTGTTTTTAATTAGAGGTACTTTTTTTGTTTAAAATATACATTAAAATTAAGTTTGAATCTGCATTAGCAAAGGCAGAGGCAGACTAGCTTGCTTCCAAATAATCTCCCATGGAGGACAATTAGAAAAGCCAGAGGAAATATTTTTTAAAATTTGTTCAAAAAGTCAGTAACCACTATAAGAATTGTGTAAGAACATATAACAAGTGTATAAAAGGGGAAACAGAAAATGCAATTAATATAAAACTAAGAGGATAACAGAGAAATGAGACAGAACAAAGATTATGACCTATCAAGACATGCAGAGTACAAATAAAAGCACAAGTACAGACAAATTTAGTCTTGAGATATATACCTATTAGGAAAAAAGATGGAAATCAAGGATCTAGGTAAAGGAATATGAAAAAGCAGATAAATTCAAGTAAATAAAGTAGAAAAAAGATAATGATGAAGAGTAGAAATCAATAAGCCAGGGACAAAGATTTATATTAAAGCACTACTGAACCCAAAATTCTGTTCTTTGGCAAGACCTATAAATAAGTAAGCCCGTGAAGAGACTTATCAAGGAAAAAGAAAGCCCAAATAATCAATGTTACAGGTGAAAAAAGGACATCTCTCCAGATTCAAAAAGGTGATAAAATAATATGAGCCTGGGGATGCAGTTTAGTGGTACAGCATGTACAAGGCTCTGGGTTCAATCCCTAGCATCATTCCCCTCCCTTCATTTTAAAGAACTTATGCCACTAAATTTAGCATGAAAAACTTCTAAGAAAAACAGATACCAAAAGACTAGAAGAATCTTAATAGATCTATGTCTATTCAAAACACAGAATTTATAATTCTTGATAAAATGAAAGAATCAATACTTCAATGAAAAAATAACACCAATCTTGTATGTCCAGAGAATAGAAAAAGAACTGCTTCTCAATTCATTTTATGAATCCAGCAAACTTTGATATCAATATTTAACAAGGATAATATAAGAAAATTATAGGCCAATCTCCCTCATGGGTATAAATGCAAAAAACTCTACTCAGAATATTAGCATATCAAACCTTGTAATATATAAAATACATGACAGCCAAATTGTGTATATATCAGAAACAAAATGTTGTTTAAATATTCAAAATTTAATCATTTTAATTGACTATATTAATTGAATAAAGGAGAGAAAGCACATAATCACCCCAATCTGCACAGAAGTATATTTGATAAAAACCCAATAGTCATGAAAAACTCTTAAAAAAGAAACATATCTTCTTTTATAAAATATAAATATAAAATACATTTGTAAATATAAAACTTATAGCAAACATATTATTAAAAGTGAAATACTGAATGCCTTTCTGAGTTTGGGGTCAAGATACAGAGGTCTGCTACCAACACTTCTAATTCTAAATTGTATTTGAGGTCTTAAGCCAATGCAACCAGACATGAAAAAGAAATAAGGGTATGTGAATTGGATAGGAAGAAAATGTCATTCTTCACAACATGATTACATAAGAGAAAATCCAAAAGAATAAATATACAACGTTTGAATGAATAAGTGGATGCAACATGGTCTTTAGATAAAAAAATATTACTAAAAACCACATACATTTCTATATACTAGCAATGAGCAACTAGAAAGTGAAACTTTTTTTTGAAAAGATACCACTTATAACTACATGAAAAAAATTCAATACTTACAAACAAATCTAACAAAAGAGTTATAAGATTTACACAGAAAGCTTTACAATTTCCTTGAATTTCTCTAATTACTAGAGATCTTGATCATTTTTTTTGTATTTGTTGATTGATTATATTTCTTCTGTGAGGTGTCTGTTCAGTTCCATAGCCCATTCGTTGATTGGATTATTTGATTGCTTTTTTGATGTTAAGTTTTTTGAGTTATTTATATATCCTGGAGATAAATGCTCTATTTGAGGAGTGACACAGCCACATAAATGTTTATAGCAGCTCAACTCACAATAGCTAAACTATGGAACCAACCTAGGTGCCCTTCAACAGATGAATGGATAAAATGTGGTATATATACAAAATGAAGTACTACTCAGCCTTAAAGAAGACTGAAATTATGGCATTTGCCGGTAAATGGATGGGACTGGAGAATATCATGCTAAGTGAAATAACCCAATTCCCCCAAACCAAAGGCTGAAAGTTTTCTCTGATATGTGGATACTAATTCACAATGGGGGGTGCTAGGGAAGAATAAAAGTACTTTGGATTAGGTAGAGGGGAGTGAAGAGAGGAGGGGGATATATTAGGAAGGACAATAGAAAGAATTGGACATTATTACCCTATGTGCATATAGGACTACACAACCAGTGTGATTCTATATCATGTGCAACCAGAAAAACGAGAAGTTATACTCCATTTAGGTATGATGTGTCAAAATGCATTCTACTGTCATGTATAACTAATTAAAACAAATTTTAAAAAATGAATGAAATCGATAAACTGTCAATGAAAAACACATGAAAACACAAGTTGCTAAAATCAAGAATGAAACAGGTTACTGCTGAAGACCCTGCAATACCATTACTGATACCAAAACCAGACAAGGACAGGACAAACTAAAACAAACAAAACAAACTAAACAAACAAAACCACCAATACCTCTCTTACAGAATATTAGTAAACAGAACCTAGCAACATATAAAACAAATATTATACCACAATCAAGTGAAATTTACTCCAGGAATGTTCAACATTCAGGAATCAATGAATGTCACAATAGCTAAGCTGTGGAGCCAACCTAGATGCACTTCAATAGATGAATGGATAAAGAAACTGTGGTATATATACACAATGGAATATTACTCAGCATTAAAAGAGAATAAAATTATGGCATTTACAGGTAAATGGATGGAATTGGAGAATGTCATGCTAAGTGATGTAAGTCAATCCAAAAAAAACCAAAGGCTGAACGTTCTCTCTGATAAGTGGATGCTGATCCATGTGGGAGGGGCATGGGAAAAATAAAGGAATTTGGGGAAGGGGGGAGAAGGGGGCACAGGGGTAGTAGGTAAGATGGTGGAATGAGATAGACACCATTACCCTGGGTACATGTGTGATTGCACAAATGGTAGGACTCTGCATTGTGTACAACCAGAGAAATGAAAAGTAGTGCTCCATTTGTGTACAATGAAAAGAAACGCATTCTGCTGTGATAAATAACCAATTAGAAAAAAAAAAATCAATGAATGTAACTCACACTTACCATGTGACCCAGCATTTTACTCTTGGGCTTTTATCCCAGAGAAATAAAAACTTTATGTTGATTCAAAAACCTTCAAACAAAGGTTCATGGCATCTCAAATCATCATATTCCAAAAATGCATACAATCCAATTTTCTTTCAATGAGTGAATGGTTAAACTCAGTGTAGGATCCCTGAATACTACTCAGCAACAACAACAACAACAAAAATGATTGATACAAATAACTTGGATGGAATGGAAAGCAATTATATTAAGTTAAAAAAAAAACAAAAGCCAAAAGCCAGTTTCAAAAAGTCATGTATTTATGATTCCATTTATACAACTTTTTTGAAATGATATTTTTTTAGAGATGGAGAGATTGGAGTAGGACTAGATGGTTCTATAAAGCAGCAGATATAAAGTCTTGTGCTAATGAAATAATTCTGTATCTTGGTTTATTATTATAATAATTATAAAAGCTACATGTGTGATAAAATTGCATAGAACTGTGTACACACACAAATGAGTGCTTATAAAATTGGTGAAATTTCAATTAACTTTATATTCCACCAATGTCAATCTCAATTTCCTGGTTTTAATACTGTTTTGTTGCCATTCAAAATGTTACCATTGGGGAAGCTTGGCTGAGAAGGGATGGGGACTTTCTTGTACAGTTTTTTTGCAACCTCTATAAAATCTATAATAATTATTCAAAACAAAAAAATTAAAACCACAAAACTTAATTATGCATTTATTTAATTGCAAACTGTTTAAGTGGTATGACAAAGAAAAATCAGGAATACCACACAGCTCCATATAAACTTCAAAACATACAGTTGCAAGTCAACATATAATATAAATGCATAAACAGAATACCTTTAAGGTCACTGTAACTATTTGTATCTACTCCATCTTACTCCAAAATAACCTGTTAATGGAAGTAACTGTTTTCTATATCCTGATTTACAGATAATTTCCCCACTTGCAACAAATCACTTTCTTTTTGTAGTTCTTTTCATTTGCAAAGTACATTCAAATCCTTTCTCATTTAAACAAAGCCTACAAAGTAGAGAGTGCGATCCACAGAGTGAGAAATTGAAGGTCAAGTTTTTTCAAGGTTGTTTAATGGCAAAATCAATTTTATAGTCTTTGGACTCCTATTACAGTATTTTTCCAGCTACATATTATGTCAAAAATTTTATGTACTATTTAAGATCAAAGAACAAATTACATAATGTTGTAGGGGAAAGTCCAAGAGAGAATAAATATGATATGTGTTAGACCAAGATTCTATCTGGTGTTCCAAGCCTCTGCTAGATAAGTGGATATATGAACAGCAATTTTACAACCTTTTTTCCTCTTACACCTTTTACATTCACTTTTTTTTTCTTATACCTTTTCAACTTTCTCTAATTTTGCTATTTGAATATGTGCTGCATGAGAGTTCTCAAATCTGTACAAGTGGGTCAGAAAACCAAACTTAGATGATGAATATAAAATCCATTACTACTGTTGAGGAAATATAAAAACTAAGGCATACATTACACTCAGGATGGATTTGCTAAATTATCTTGACTTTAAAAGATATTTTCCATAGTTCTTTTGTTGCTTCTAATTCACCAATTATTACATCAAATTTGTAAGCACTTTTTTTTTTTTTAAATGTGCCAGAAAACAGCTTTCAGCCTCTTGACATCAAGGACAAGAATTTCAAAAGTTTGAAGACTACTGGACTTTCAGGTTAAATACTCATTGAAGCAGTATAATAATTTCCCTTTGCTCAAAGTATAAAGTAGACTTCAAAATTAAGTGCTTGATCCTAAGTATATTATAGTAATTTTACAAGTAAGGAAATGCTGAGAGGTTATGGATCTTTTTATGGGAAGAAAATCACCTAATATAAAAGCCTTAGTTGTAAAAATACAAGATATTAAAATGTAAAATTTCAGAAAAGCACCTGCTGTGTTGCCTTTATCGTCCCCTAACATCCTACACGCTGGGAAGCCAGGCTTCAGGGTCTTCAAGCCTTTCACTTTTAGGTAAAAAAAATGGAAAACACCTAACAGATAACTCGGATATTCTTATTCATAGTTTCAGAAAGAAGTTGAAAGTAAACCTTTTGCACAAAGACTGGAGCTTGTTCTAAATTCTGTTTCTTTTGTTATATATTTCTCTTTTCTGATAGGAATGTGACCTTAGAACTTCAGAAGGGATATTATAAACTCTCCAGAACTGGCAGACAGGACACAAAACAGATGTCCAGTAACTACTTGTGAGGAACAAATGAATTAACGAATCAAGGAACAAAGGGTCGCGATCTGCATGCTGTCTTGGGTGGGGAAAAACTCCCCGAGGTGAGTACACAGTGGGCCTTAAGTGTGAACGGAAAGCGGTGTGCGCACTAGATGCTCGCTGCAAATCACACCCCGGACCTGACTTTGATCCTTCCGGGCAGCGTCTTGCGGGCCGGGTACCCAACGTCCAGGCCCCTACTCCCCACCGTGGGCTGCGTTTAGCAGCCCAAAAGGTGCATCCTCTAGCTCTGGGGAGCCGCGATAAGCCGGCAGCCCCGGGGCCTCCCGCTCCAGGAAGCTCATGACCGCAGAGCTGTCTCAGCACCGTTATTTCCGGCTCAGTGGAAGGTCCGGCCAAGGGCCGCGAGGCCTCTGTGAGGAGCTGCAGGCAGCACAGGGCCCCGAGCCAGCCCGCCTGATTTCCTGAAAGTCAGCGAAGCCTAGAGAGCTGCATCTCACCTGTCTGCCCACAAGGTCCCCGCTGAAGTTCCTGGGGAGGCGTGCTTGGACCGGAAGTCCCGCCTTATGACGTCACTACATTGCACCGCGCTCCGTTCTCGGGGAGCTGACGCGTTTACGGCGCGCTGCGCGCGGGCCGTGGGATGTAGCTGTTCCCGGCGTGGAGCCGGGTGTTAAGATGCGGCTAAACTACGTGGAGTGGGAGCGGTGTCCTTTTCTCTTTCGTTTGAATTTTATCTGCCTCCTGTTGCCTCTCATCCTTGATATACTCCTGCCTTCCTTTCCCTCTCATTTTTTCTCTATTTCTCCCCTTTTGTTTCCTCTGTCCATTTCTCGCTTCCTGCATCACTGGTTGCATCTCTTCCCTTCTCCACGAACACAGGAAAGTTGATTCTCAACTGACCTTGTATACTAACATTAGTGTGGCCAGCCTCAGATTTGCTACACTTTAGGGTTGTATACTATTTCAAAGATACTTTGAACTAACCACCTCCAAACTCCACGAAGACAGAGGTTATGTCTGTGTGACTTGTATGCCCAGCACCTGCTACTCATCAGGTGATCAGCATATGTCTGACCAAATATGCGCTATTGTGAATATGACAGTCTTGTAGCCAGGGAAAAAGCAGAGAAGTAGACTAGCGAGTCATCAATGATTCTCACACTTAGAAAAGGACCTTTGCTCCTTTTAAATTAAACATCTCAGTGGTCCACACTACCATCCAGTCAGCTGTTGAAAGTAGACTGGTACCTCTTCCTCACACTCAGAGGTAATATTTAATGAGTTGAGGGGAAAAAAACCCACTCCCTGTGCTAAGAGCTTTTCATGAATTAGCTCATTTTTTAAATCCTCAGAGCATTCCTATGAGGTTAGTATTAACAAGTGACATAGGGTCTGGAAGTAAAGCAAATACATAAAATAAATTATTGATTACATTATAATGACATTACATGATATGTCCAAGGTGGTGTCCCTTGTTACTAATACTTGGTTCAATATGTGTACCAAATTCTCGTGAACATGGCTCATTTGTATGAGCATTTTTTTTAATCCTTGCATATGTATTTGTGATACATCACTTTGGGTGATTTATGTCTCTGATTTCATTAAGCCTGTGGCAGAATTAACCACAGAGGTTCAGTCTTAAACAAAAAAAATCTTTCCAGACCCTATGGCAATTCAGTATTATTCATGTTTACCCATAGTGCAAAAAGAGGTGTTGAGAAATTAAGTAATTCTTCAAGATCATTTGGCAGAGCCAGACTCTCTTACGTTACATAACACAGTCACACACAAGCATTACTCTTGAATAACATATCATTACCTCTATTGTGGTTCAAACACCTAAACTACTTGTAGCCACTTCTCCCCATCTTCTCTCTTTCCTTGTAATTTTTGGAATGTTCATGTTCTTTATAGTAAAGTTGTTATACTTTTGCACACACTGTTTCCTCTGCCTGGATTGCTGTTTGCCCTTCCCTCCCCAGTGTGCCCTTCTCCACTAATTTACTCTAACACATGATTCAAGATTCATTTTCAAACGGTGGTTCCTGATGCCACCAGGTATGGTAAGGTTTCCTCCTTTATACTTATGTATTATCGTTTACATTTTTCGATTAAGATACTTATTTGTCTGTCTCCTTCACTAGACTGTGAGATCCTGGAAAACGTACCTTTTTGTTCTTTCACTTTGTATTTTCTAGGTCTAGATAGAATGTGATATATGGCAGGCATGCTGTAAGTCTGTGTTTAAATGACTACACTCGGAACTGTTGATCTCCCACTCCAAGGGCAGGAATTCCTCCATACCTCATTACAGTATGGAAATGGGATCTGAAAAACTGTTGGGAGCTGAGGAAAATTTTCTCTCCATCTCTTGACTTAAATTTTCTCTGGGCATCTGTTTCATCATTCTTTGATTCCCAGGCTACATGACAGAATATGGTTCTGCAATTTATGCCATTGATGGAGTTATTAATGCTATTCAGATAGTTTCTAGACACATGGTAAGATTGATCTTGTTTTATAGTTGGGTGTATGGAGTTAAGGGAGGAGTGACAAGATAGGGAAGGTCTGGCCAATAAGGTATGAAGAGAAATGGTGGGTAACTTCTAGGCTGAGCAGTTGATTTTTGTGTTGAGTCCTCTGACACTTCACATTTTCATTTGATGGGGTGATGGCAACATTCAAGATAGTGTCTGTGCCAACAGCCTGTGTCCTTGAGTAGTTATTTCTGCCCAGAATATATTCAGTATGTGATGACATGTTATGAAAAAGAAGTAACCTTTTTAGTTTAAAGTTCTCAAGATTGTTCGCAACTATAGTACAATAGAATCTGACCAGATTGTTGCAGAGGGAAAGCCACACACTGGTTCTTTTTTATCACTCTTTCAATTTTTATTCTAAATATCCAGAAGAGAATATCTCATTGGTCTAGTGTAGGTCTGAGGTACAGCAATTGTCCAATCATCAGTGACAAGTGCTAGTGGTTGTATTGGCCCTCTGCTAACATGGGTAAGATACAAGATATTAATGGAGCATACATTAATGGAGCAGACATTCCACAAAGATGTCTGTCAGAAGCACAAATGGCATAAAAGTAGACCCTTGTTTACTGATCTTAAATGACATGTTTACCTTTTACATAAAAATTTTAGACTCTCATTGCTTGTTCATTTTTACTGACTGTTACATTTCAAACACTCTTCCAGACTGCAGATACAAAGGCAATCCAAACAAAAAAGTCTCTAATCTCACAAATATAATACAAGCAAATTAAACAGATTAATAAATTATGATTGCATAAGGGGAACTGAAAGGCAATGTTAAAGATAATGAGAAGTGTATTACTGTTCTATTGTTTAACAACTTACCAAAACCATAGCAGTTTAAAACATGCACATGTTTTACTTCATACAGTTTCTCCTGGTTGGGAAACTAGGAGCAGCTTAACTAAGAGAGATTTAGGGATACCAATATCATGTTCTTCAGGACCCACCTTGACAGGTTATGGTACCAAAGAATATAGTGGAAGGGGAAGAAAGTCACCTCTTGTAAAGCAGAGAAAGTCAGCCTAATGTCCCTGAATGTGAATTATTTCAGGGTATTGTCAGTAACATGTAGCATTTACAAAAAGGAAGTTGCAGTGGATAGTTGAGAGCTCTTTGGCTTCTTGTGGATAACATTATTGAAAAGGAAGAGAGGGAAAAGGTTGCATTTGCGATATAGCAAAGATCAACTATGAGGGAACCTGTAGACAATGCTTAAGTACTTCCACAGTTGTTGGAGACCCTCTCGTGGAAGTGAAGAAGTAGCTGGGGATCCTCTGGAAGACTGAGTATTCTACAAAGCAAGGAAAATGAGACAGAGAAATGGGCAATACCTGCATCTTTATGGTAGGAAAAAATAGTCCTGATGGATGTTATGAGAACGCTGGAAGAACCTGTGCTTATTAACAGAAAGTTTTGTCTTCTCCCTTATTACTCTATTGCACAGAAAATAGAAACTCTCTGATTATACATACCTTGATTTAGTATGTGCAGACTATATAAAAAGGAGCAAGAGGAAGAAAAGAGAGAAAAGATAAAAATTAGATAACTAAGATTTCTTTTCAATGTACATTCTAGAGATAAGATTATTAGTTATAAATGGTAGTGAATTTAAATTTTAGTTTTCTACTGGCTCTATAGTGAAATTTTCTTATTTGTGAATTTACAAGTAGAGATAATTCTAAATGGTTTTCAGTGTATAATTGTTTAATGCAAAATCCACAAAATGGAATTGCTGTTCACTGAGATCCTCATGAATTCTTTTCTCAAACACTTTTTGTCAAGAAAACAGATCCACATAATGTGTCATCTTAAAACATAAATTAAAACTTAAGATATGTTTTTAAAAAATTTATAAAAAGTGTACTATTTTAGGGCTGGGGTTGTGGCTCAGTGGTAGAGTGCTTGCCTTGTATGCATGAGGCACTGGGTTTGATCCTCAACATCACATAAAAATAAATAAATAAAATAAAGATATTGTGTCCCTCTACAACTAAAAAAATTTTTTAAAATGTACCATTTTAATCTTTAAAAATCTAAGGAGAGTAAAGATAATACCTAAACATTGACAAAACTATATTCAACTTCCTTATTATGACTAAACTGATCCTCCTGACTATTAATAATGCAGAAAACCTAACAAAAGTCAGAAAAATTTGATCAGTGAGAGTCAAAGATTCTTGCAAAAGTTCTGCTCATGGATTATACTGCCTTCATAGAGGCATTTGACTTACTAAAAAACTGAACAATAATAATAACAGCAGCAAAAACAGGCAAACACCAACACCAAACACCAACTTTTAGGTGTCCTTGCCATCCAAAACGATTCAAACTATAAATACACATGTATTTGCATATGTAATTGCATGTGTGTATATATATGCACACACATGTATATGTAGATGTATAAATGCATGTATGTTTGCATGTATATGAGACTAAAATAATATTGTATTTAATACTTTTAAGATAATTCACCATATGTAGTATAACTACAATTCCAAATGTTTTCTTTTAACTCATTCTGTGGTTTCTTGGTCCCCATCAAGGAGCACACCATAAAGAAGCTTTTATTGTCTGGGCAGGGTATAATTAGGATTAAAAATATGGGATATGTAGTTCAACTATCTCTATAAATTAAGAACAAAGTACAAATTGGAACAAGGTACAGATGACTACTCCTTTAGAGTACAGTATGTTCCCATTTTATTGGATTCCTCAGAAACTAATAGCTCCATTCAGCAAGGTTTTTGTAGGCTAATAATACTGCTACAGAACTTTTACAAATCATTCCTTTTTAACTTTTAATGGAGACTTTTATTCTCCAGTAAAAACAAGAATAGAGTTTTTCATAGAACAAAATTCCTTCTCATATTATCCATGTGACTGTGGTCTACTGAAAGGTGGCTCTCCAAAGATGTCCACATCCTAATCTGTGGTACATTACATGACAAAAGGATGCTACATTACATAACGAAAGGATGTTGCATATGTGGTTAGAATGTGTTAAG